CCTGCAGAGAGTGGTAAAGACTGCGGAGAAGATCACCAGGACTCCACTGCCCTCTCTGCAGAGCATTTACCACCACAGGGTGCGTAGGAAGGCTGCGTCCATCCTCAAAGATCCCACCCACTCCCAGCACGGACTGTTCACCTCCCTACCCTCTGGTCAGAGGTTCAGAAGTGTGAAATGCAGGACCACTAGACTGAAAAACTCTTTCTTTCCCTCTGCCATCAGACTCTTAAACAGCTGACAGGAGTTTATTACCAGGAAATACGTGATGTACTGTTTACATTTTGTTTGCACATGCATAATTGTACAATGACACACATGCTGCTCCCATGCAGCATACATTCTCTGTTATATTCTTGTATATATTTTTTTTCTACTATATTGCTGCATCTGCACTGCTTAAAGTGCCTTAGATTTTGTGTTATTTATTCATCTACTTTATATTTCATTTGTATTTTGTGGCATTCATATGGACGGCAAAGTAAGAATTTCATTGTACAGGGAAACACGTTTCCTAACTGTGCATATGACAAAATAAACACTTTGAACTTTGAACTGCAGTCTCAGCTTTGATAAACACATTAAACCTATGGTTCAGTTATGTTTTCTGCACCATCAGAAACATTTCAAAGATTACACATTTTCCACCTACCAGAAATTGGGGAAACTGTTTTTCACACTTTAATTACTTCTTGACAACTCAGAACTCAGCCTTTTTAATGAGAACAAAGGAAAACACAGTATCTTTCTCTTTCTGGTATTGCAGCAAAATTATTCACATAGATTGATGAATTGATTATCAAATCCAGTGTTACTGATTACTTTGAGACTTGCTGATTACATATTAAACCCTGAGGTAATTTTCTTACGTTCCCCCTTGCTCCCTCAGATTTCTCAAATGCATCTCTTTTTGTTGCTCTAAAATTCTGTCCGTGGTCCTAGACTTTGAAATGACGAGGACATCAAGGCAGCAAATTGTCACTTTTAAAAACCCATCTTTTAAAATGATCACTTTAGTAATTTATGTATAATTTAATTGTTCTGTGTTTTTATGTTTTCTTTTTCTTCTTGTAAAAGTATTTAGGGATGGGATGATATGACCTTTTCTCAATTCGATTTGATGCATGATATGATGTGTTTGATTCATTTCAATCACGATAGAATAAAAAATTCAATTACCACAATGTTTGATTACGAACTCTTGGTGTGTGGAGGTCACACAATATGTATTGCTAGATAAAATGATCCATATTGTGATGTTTTTGCCCCACGATATATTGAATTTCGATATATTGTCCCATCCCTAATATTATTCTTCGTGCTATTGCTTTAGTTTCATATGATATAGTTGAGAATGGCATTGCTGGTCTTGCTTTCGTTTTTTTAATGGTGAATACCTGGAGTGTCCCGGATTGTAAATCAGTGGAACTTCACAAGCAAACTCACAAGGTTCTTAAAAGTTCAGAGATATTCCAGGTTGTTTCAGCAGCAGAAAAGTTTTGTGATGTATTTACATGCTGTGGTGTAAGAAGTGCTCAGGTCTTTTACTTAAGTAAAATGACCTCCAGTACATTACATGAGTAAATGTGCTTCTCTTTATTTCCCACCACTCTTTAAATGCACATTGGTTCTTAACAAAACAGTCAAACTCTGTCTTCCTAGGATAAGTACGAAGATTGTGGACCCATATAACAAGATTGTGGCCAGGATTACGCAGCTTGCCCGACTGCAGGTAAGTCTCCACCACACACTTCATGAAGATTGTATTATATGAACTGTTCTGTGGCTGTGTGTCAATCAGTTTCTAATTTTAAATGGCAGAAGAAATAGACTGTTCTGTTCTTTATTTGGCAGTTTTACTGAAGAATATTATTTTCCAAACAC